GTGTGTGTTGGTCAATTTGATGGTGTCCCAAAGGCTCCTTGGGCTCTGTTTACTTTTCTTCAGTGGAAAATAGGGTTGCTACAATGACTGCCCACCTCTCTGTCTCCACCTCCTTGATCAGAGAAGCAATCAGAGTGCAGATCCCGAATATTTGGAGGACGGGGCCCTATTGCTCACCCTACATATAGGCTGCTCCAGGAACAAGTGCTGCCTGCCACTGGGATGGGAGATGGGAGGTAACTACTTCTGAGCAAAATACAGTGATAGGTCAAAATGAACTTCATCAGAGTGCCAATTGTTATATGAGACAAATTCTGCTACTGAGTCTGGCTTGGAGATAAATTCCTGGTGCTTCTTACACCACTGTCTTCCCAGGATCTTCTCACGCAGTAATCTTCTAATTGGGGATATAACTAAAAAAACAAGCAAGTGGAATGAAAAATGGGACAATAAAAAATATTTCAGCCCTAACCGGTTTGGCTTAGTGGGTAGAGCATCGGCCTGCAGACTGAAGGGTCCCAGATTCGATTCCGGTCAAGGGCATGTACCTTGGTTGCAGGCACATCTCAAGTAGGGGGTGTGCAGGAGGCAGCTTATTGGTGTTTCTCTCTCATCGATGTTTCTTACGCTCTATTCCTCTCCCTTCCTCTCGTAAAAAAAATCAATAAAACATATTTAAAAAACACATATATTTCAGAAGTTTCCTCAAGGGTGGGGGTAAAGTTCTCTATCACTGTTAAAGTAACTTAAGGGTGATAAAGACAATAATTGTATAATTTACATCAGTTTGAGAAGTATCCAACTTATGTAGTAGGTTTATTAATTTTTAAACATAATTTGCATAATGCTGGCAATTACATGACAGAAAGTTATAGAATATAATCATCATAGTTTCCTATAATTTTGTGGAGCCATCTGTATGTTAAGAAGAAATAGATACAGAATAACCTGTACGAGAGGCATGGAGCACACTCCTGCTCAGCTTGCTGTTGTCAATGGTCAGAGGGTTAAGCTATCACACCATTTCCTAGAGTCTACTGAATAGTGGCTTTCTTTGTGTTTCTTCACTTGTTAGAGCAATACTGAGAGATAAAACAAAGCAAGTCTTACATCAGACACTGATGGCTTTTTAAAAAGTTGGAATGGGATGTTATTGGATGTTCCAAAGAGTATATTTATAGTAACTTTTTATGGAAACCACTGCTCCAGAGTAAACTGTATTTGGAAATCCAATCAACATATATCAGTGATGCTCAGGTGAACATAAATACATATTATATGTCTAATGCACCAGTTTTAAAGAGTAATGTTGTTGGCTGGGGGAGTGATTTTTTTTTTAAACCCACTTTTTAAAACAGTCATACCTTTATTTTCCTTAGACACTTAATTAAAGTGGATTTTATTTCTATATAAATAAACTTTTTATTTATAAGATGTGGCTTTAAGCATAACATAAAAAGGAAACAATTAAGTATAGAATGCTTTCTGAGGCATGAAATGTTATTTAGGACTTTTCCTATAATGGCCACGGAGTGTTTCTTGAGCGTCCATGCAGATGAGGTCTTGAACAGCTGCACGAAGCACACAGAAGTTCTGATTCCTGCCTCTGTGAACTGACTTGAATAAAGTCTTTCATCTAAAGGTCTCACTGTTTGTCTATTTCATGAATCCCTCATCTCATCTCTGAAGGGCTCATTCAGTTTAATACAGTTCAACTTTGTAGGGGAGAGCTCTAGACTTTGTTGTTGTGACTTATAATGCACAAAAAAGATAGGTTAAAGTAACTTAAGAATTCTTTAAAGAATTAGATAAAACCCAAGCTAAAATGATGGGAAAAGGGGGAAAAGATTTAGAATAGGGATTCTAATTAAAATTTAATTATGTGATCTTAAGTAAATTCTGTATACTCTTAGTGTCAAATTTCTCTGTGGTTATAACAAAGCCTAACAGAGTTCGGAGGAATAAATGTTTTGAAATGCTTGTTAGGTTCATTTGTTTTATATAATTCAGTCCTCATTATATCTCATCTTCTGTATTAAGTATTCTGTAACAACTTTAGCAATGATTAAACTGAAAAGTCACCATTGTACCATTTAGATGTAATTTGTTAAGTAAATTTCAGATGATCTTTTCTTTATCTGTGTACTTATATCACATATTGCCATTTATTTGGCAGTAACCTATGTATTGCCTCCCATTTTACCCTAGCCACTTCTTACATCTGTTGACATATTATGAGTTCTTTGAACTGGACTTATTTGAACCTTCACAAAATGTAATGTGTAGTGCTAAATATGGGGTAAACTTCTGTTGTTTTTTTCATTGCTCTTTAGTATACATTCGTATTTTCCTCCAATAGTAGAGAATGTCAAATTTGACTCTAATTTTACTATGGAAATTATTATATTAAAACTACCTGGTCATAAGCTTAGAAATCTTTTGTAGTTCCCCGCCCACTTTGAGCATATGAAAATTAGGATCCATGGAATTTTTTTTCCCCCAGGGAAATTTTGATCCAAACATTTCTAACTGAGAATGGCAAAAATACAAAAGGAGTTTGGGCATTATACATTAGAAATAAAATAATGTAGGTGGCATTTATTCATGCAGTCAGTGAATATTATTGCCATCTACTAAATGTTAGTTAGGCTCTTTGCTGCTGTAGCTGAGAGACATAGTGATTTTTTTTTTTAAAGACAAGATTTCTTTCTGATGGAGTTTATAGTCAGTAAACAGACAAAAACTGGCGCAGTAGATATATAATATGTATTATGTTTATCTGAGCGTCATTGACATATAATGTTGATTTGAACCAGACAGTAGCAGTGTAATAAGGATTATGAATGATTAGGGTGGTATGAGAAAGTAACTGGCTGAAAGGTGAGCTACTTTGTATATGGTGATTAGAAAAGGCCTCTTAGAGAAAAGTACAAAGAAAGACCCAAAGGATAAGGAAGTGCCTAAATTGTGGTCTTTAAATGTGGTTTCTCCCTGAAAGGATTCAGAATTCCTTGGAAAACTAGCTTAACCAAAGATCTATAATAAGAACTATAGAAGAAACCCTCAAGTCTAGTGGGGTCATGATATGGGAGCCAACATGGAGGGGACTCCCACTGATCACAGATGTGACAATTAGCGCATGAAAAGAGTAGCGACTACAGTAAATTCAAACACATCTTTTACTCAAAGTATATGAGTTCATGTTACTTTAAAATTCATTGTTCACCTTAGGACCAAAATTGGACAATCAAATATTTATCTTGCCGTTCCTCTGAGATAACAAAATAGTTCAACAAGAAATAGTTCTTTAAAAAGAATTCAAGCTACCAGTCAATGAAAGAGAGACACCACATGACTTCACTTATTTATGGATGATAAAGAACATTATAAACTGAAGAACCAAAAGATAGAGATAGAGACAGTAAAGCAACAAACAGACTGTCAAATTACAGCGGGGAGGTTGGAGAGACCTGGGGGAGATAAGAGATCAACCGAAGGACTTGTATACATGCATATAAGTACAACCAATGAACACAAAACTCTGGGGAGGGAGGGTATGTACGAAGGGGGGGGCAATGGTATATGTACAAAAATAATAATTTAATAAAAAAAAATATATATAAAAGAATTCAAGCTAGTAAATGCAGAAAGAATGATAATCTATTCTATTTTAATAGAGTAGGCAGTGAAACTTCTCACATTTTCATATATGCTTTTGAAAAATTTTTAAATCATTTTAAAGGAGGGGCAGTGAGAATTCAGCCAGTAGGAACGGGAGTGGTGGAAAGATGTTTTCTGAAAATAGGATCAGTATGAACAGGGTGCAGAAGTGAAAAAATACTGCACATGTTCGGGGAAGACTTAGTATTGGGTTTCCCAAAGTACACGTTGTGTAAGTGGCAGTATTGTGGATATGCAGTTTTCTGTGACTTCTCAGAATTCACAGTTCCTAGAAATAGAGAAACCAGACTCTTACCAAGTTCAGGAGGAACTTGAGATTCAAGGAGGTTCTCTACATTTCCTCCTGCCCTTTGGCTATTGAAATAGTAAACAGAAGAATTCAGCAATGGATTTAATGAAGCCAAGTTGATTTGGCAGCAGACCTTAGTAAAAAGGTACCCTAGAGAGAGAGCAGCATTAATTTTTCTTGGGCAACCCCTGCTGAGAGTATGCAGTTTATTAATGTGATTGTTCTTCATCTCAGCATTTTATCGATTCTTCTTAAAGTTGTATGTATAGAGATGAGCATCCCAAAGTTAATGATTTCTAATCCATTGCATCAGTCCCTGGTGTAGTGTTAGAGGACCACGTATGTTCCCATTTAGCTCTGTGTTTAAAGTGAGTAGTTTAACCTAACTTGCCAGCAAAATAGTCTTCTCTGTTCAAATCTTGATACCCACCATACCTATTATAGATAAATATTCTGTTTTGTTCAGGTTCATGTTGTGTTGATAACAGTAATTGGGTATATCTCTTTGTAAAGCCAATTTTCTTTTTCAGTTGAAGTGGTTTGTGCCATAGTATTATTTAAAAAGTGAAAACCCCTTTAAATCTTTCTTGAGAAGTATTGGTATAGAATATTTGTTGATTTTATAAGCCAATGTGTATTTGTCTGCTCCAAGTTGAATGTATTACTACCTGGTATTTAGAAACGCAGTACAAGTCACAGCAGAGGACTGGTGGGAAATTGAGATGTCAAACTGTGGAGATGGACAACTGTGTTCCCTGTGATATACCAGAGCTAGTTTGTTTCCATGGCTGGTGAAGTAAAAAGCATATCAATTTTCTCATAATTATACTCACTGTTTTCCTTAAAACGGAGATTAGAAGACTGTAACAATAATGAAATGTTATAGTGTTCTACCATTCAACATTGATTCTTTACTTCAGAATTAAATTTATATTTGGAAAGATGGGATTTGCTAAGTACTGTATTTTAGGAAAGGAGTCTCCTTTTGGCACAATACTTATTCTATAAAATATGTGTATTTTTTAAACAGGGTATCCAGAAGTTGGCTAGTCAATATCTGAAGAGAGATTGGCCTGGAATAAAAGCTGATGATCGGAATGATTACAGGTAACTTAAGTAGATCTTGCCCGTTGTTTTGATTTATCTATTTATTTATTATTTTTAAAGACTTTATTGTTGAGAGTATTATAGATGTGTCCCCTTTTCCCTTCATTGTCCCCCTCTACTCAGTTTCTGCCCTGCTTTAGGCCCTCAACACCCTTGCCCGTTGTTTTAAAAAATGGTTTCACTGAGAGCCATGTCACAGAGGGGGTAATGTAGACTCTAGTTAAAAAACACACACAAAACTTCTTTTTCTGCTGTTTTTAGATGTAATTTCAAAATTATAAAAAATGTTAATCTTTTACAATATATGTGATCTATATAAAGGGATCATTTTATGTCTTAGACTAATATTGCATTTTTAAATTAATTAATACCCACATACTGAATTTAAGAGAGTAGAGGATAATGAGGCATTATTTCCTCAGCAACCTATAGATGAAACACATTGAAACAATAATGAAACAAGATTGAAATAATGAAACAAGTAATGTTCTACCATGATCACTGATTCTTTATTTTGAAACAAATTATAAATTTGAAAAGATGGGATTTTGTGAGTTTAAGAGAAAACAGTTTCTAAGTTTGTTTATTTGTTTGTTGCTTAAAAACAGATTGACTGATTATTTGATTTAAAAAACAAGAATCCAGAAATTGGCTAGTCAATATCCCACATACACATTTTAAAGAAGGTAGATGACAACAGAACATAAATTCTGTCCTCAGTAACCTAAAGATATCTTTAAAGTATTTACAATTTTGTTTAGAAGTTAATGTTTTTTAGATTAATTTAGAAATATTTATTGGCATTTGTGCTCAAGACTTAGTGTTGTGGGAAACAGAAGTCAAAGACAGATTTCAGAGTTTGCTGTCTGGTTGGAGTTAAGACTAATGTCCATGAAACAGTAGCAGAAAAATCAGAGTAATTAAGAACTCATATTAAAGTGGGTGATTGAGTCTGTGTTTGAAATCAGGTGAGCAGTTGGGATCTAGCAATCCTGGATTGTGAGAGGGATCCCAGATTGAGAGGGTGCAAGCTGGGCTGAGGGACACCCCTCTCCAGCCCCATGCACGAATTTCATGCACCAGGCCTCTAGTAAGTAATAGATCCATATAGTTGCTACATCTATAAAAGTCTAAGCGACCATTAAGATGGAACGTCCGGTTGCTATGATACGCACTGACCACCAGGGGGCAGATGCCCAATGCAGGTGCTGCCCCCAATCCACAGGGGGCAGCACCAGAAAACTGAAACTAGAGAATTTGGAATTGATTGCCAATGGGGCCTGCTGGCCACTCTCCTGGTCCCTCCCCGCAGCTGGCAGGTCCTGATCACTCGATCAAGGCCAGGCCCCATGCTGGGACGGAGAACTAATATTGCATTTTTAAATTAATTAATACCCATGTATTGAATTTAAGCAAGTAGAGGATAATGAGGCATTATTTCCTCAGCAACCTATAGATGAAATACATTGAAACAATAATGAAACAAGATTGAAATAATGAAACAAGTTGGGGGTGGGTGGGGGCAGACACAGGCAGCAGAGGGAAGAAGGAGGGGGAAGGCAGGGAACCTGATTGGTCCTGATTGCTGGCCAGGTCTAGGGACCCCAACTGTGCACAAATTTCGTGTACTGAACCTTTAGTAGAATAATGAAGGAAAACAGGGAAATAAACAAAAATAGAGACGATGACATACATAAAAATTATATAGTCTTTTATATATACTGTGAAGCTAAGTGTGAGGTTATATGCATTACTCAAGATCACACAAATACTTAAACATGCATGCATTCGTGCATTCATTCAGTCATTCTTTATCCACAAGATAGATGTGATCTCTCTGCTACATGTTAGTTGTGGAAGTAGATTTTAGGGTTGGACTATAGGAAATGGTGCCTGTGCTGAAGGAGCTTATAGGAGACAGGCACTATACACAGTTGCAGTATTCAGTAGTAGTATAGGTGCATTGCAACGGCAGAGGAAAATGAGGCTTCTAGAGCTGAATTTTAAAGGATGTGCAGAGTTTGCCAGGATTGTGCAAAAGGAATTCTAAGCAGGAAAAATTCCTTTAAAGCATAGAGACATGAGAAAATGTAAATGTTAGGTAACAGTAAGCAGTTATGTGTGGCTGGTGTGAAGTACGTGGGTTGGAGGGTGAGAAGAATTGTGGGAGGATACAAAAATAGGCATCATGAAGGACTTTAGATATCACAGTTCCATTGAAGAATTTCCACAAAAGGAATCACATGTTCAGCCTAGTAATATGAAAGTGGATTAGAGAGATGTGAAGAAGAATTTGGAAAGAATAGAATTGCAAGAATTTAATCCCTTGTCTCATACTTGAACCCAGAAATTATAGTAGAAAGTAGATTGTAGGGGAAATTTCAGATATACTTAGAAAACTGAAACTAGAGAATTTGGAATTGATTTGGCAGAGAGTTCGTGTGGGTTTTTTTGTTTGTTTTGTTTTGTGTGTGTGTGTGTGTGTGTGTGTGTGTAATTTGTTTTGAGACAAACTATAAAATATTTTCTATAGTTATGAAACTATAAAATAGTTTTCTCAATATCTAAAATAGCTCTTGGAATATAGAAAGCACTTGATCAGTACCTGCTGGCTGAAGAATGCAGCAGAGGGAAAAAGAGAAAGAGAAAGGGCTATAGAATGACTCCTCCGTTTTTAACTTAGGCAGCATCATTGAGGCTGGTTGTACTGTTATGAAAAAAAAACAAAAAGCAGTAGAGAGAAATCAGGATCAGGAGTGAGAATAGCAATTGCCAATTTTTTGTTTGTTTATTAGAGTTTATTTTCATTCTAGTCATTAAAAATTTCCCTTTTAACTTTTTAAAACATTTGTATTGGTAGTTTACAAATTCTTGCCCAAGAAATGCATGTTTGTAGCATGTGTAACTGTATTAGCCCCCACTTTTCCCAAGCTTCTTCCACTCATATTTATACTCCCCCAGAGTAATTGCTGCTAAAAGAATGTGGTCTTTTCTTCCATATTTTCTGGTGTGATACATACATGAACATACACAGTTTTGCTGTTTTTAACAGAACTGGAATCATTATAGACATACTAGAGGCCCGATGTACAAAATTTGTACAAGGGGCTTGACCTTTGAGGCCCAGACTGCCTGGTGGCCCCACCCTCACCCACTGGTCATTCAGGAAGGTCGTTCTGCTGTCTGGTCTAATTTGCATATTAGCTCTGTATTACAGAGGATGTTTCCGTAACCTCTCCTCTGCTTATACGCTCACTTAAGGAGATTTTATGCCAGTACATTCAGGCTGTGCTGGTGCCATAGTATGAGTAAATTGTAGTTTCGTTATTCATTTCTCTGTTGGTGGTTATTTAGTTTATTACTATTGCAAATAATGCTGCAGTGGATAACTCATGTATGCATACAGTTATGTCTTTGTGGACTATGAAAGTATTTATAGAGTAAATTTGTAGAGGGGGAAATGCTGGGTCAAAGGGGTTATATATTTAAAATGTTAGTGTTGTAAATTATCCTTCATAAACTCTGTCAATACACAGGATGGGGCAAAAGTAGGTTTACAGTTGTGCAGTTGTGGATATGCAAAACACAGAATTTATTTTGTATTATTATTTATTATTGTATTATTTTCCATACGAACAACTGTAAACCTATTTTTGTATACACACACACAACACACACACACACACACAAACATATATATTACATTTCTTCAAATTTGATTACAAATTGCCTATTCCTTTTCATTTTTTACCAATAGGGCATGTGATAAGACTTTTTAAAAAATTGCCAGCCTGATAATACATGCAGCATTTAATGCCATTAAACTATCTCCATTTGTCTAGAAACTGAACTTCTGGAACACTGCGTTTTTCTTGGTCCTTTTTTTTTTTTTTTTTTTTTTTAAATCTTTGAGGCCAGCTTTTTATTCTGTCTTTGTCTGTCCAGGCTGCTATAACAAAATTCCATAGATGGGTGGCTTATAAAGAGAAGTTTATTTCTCACAGTTCTGCAGGATGGAAGTCCGAGATATGATCTTTTCTGAATTGCAAACTTCCCAACTTCTGGTTTGTCCTCACAAAGGGTTTGGGAGCTCTGTGGGGTCTCTCTTAGAAGAACTAATCTGCTTTATGACTAAATAAATCCCCAAAAGCATTATCTCCTAATAACATCACCTTTGAGGGATAGGATTTCCACATATGAATTGCGGGGGTGAAGATGGGAGAGTTTACAAACATTCAAACCATAGCAAGAACTTTCTGTGTAAATGTTTCTTCAAGTTCCCTCAGTTCTCTAGTGGCCTTAGGTACTCTTTATATCCCTATCTCTAAATATTGCCTATAAACTAGTAATGATCAGATGCTTTATTAAGTCTTCACCTTGGGAACCAAAAAGTCAGCTGCCTCCAACTTTCACTTCTTTCTAGATCTTTTTATATTGTTGGTGTTTTTAAGAATGTTAAGTTGCTGTTTCTCTGCTTGATCGTTGCTTTTTACATTTGCTACAATACTCGTAACTATCTATAGGCTTACTGTTACTTCGCTGCTTGAAAATCTTCTATTGTTTCTTCTTCCCAATAGGATAAAATAAAATAAAATAATTTTTTTAAAAATATTCAAAACCATGGAGAAACCTGGCTCAAATTACCTTTTTGTCCTTGTCTGCCATTTCTCCTTTCATCCTTGATTCCCAACCCTTGGTTCCTTGCAGTTGTATTGCAGTTCATATCACACCTTAACTGAACTGCAGTCAGTCATCCTCCCTGCCCTACTGGTTGCCTAGGCTCAGGATATTCTCCCCTCCTACCAAGAACAACAATACTTGAATGCTTGCTTGCTTGCTTGCTTATTTATTTATTTAAAATATGTTTTTATTGATTTCAGAGAGTAAAGGAGAGAGAGATAGAAGCATCAATGATGAGAGAATCGTTAATCGGCTGCTCCCTGCGCACCTTCCACTAGGGGTTGAGACCATAACCTAGGCATGAGCCCCCACTAAGAATCAAACCATGACCTTCTTCATGGACCGATGCTCAATAACTGAGCCACACCAGCCAGGATGGATACTTATTTATTAAACACCATGCTTTTTTCCGTGTTATCAGTTACTATATAAATTAATCTTAGATTATGAACTTATCACACTTCTAGAATCTGTTTGATGTGTGGTGCTATATTTCTGGGCCTGGGTTTGAGATGAGAGGAGAAGGTAGATAATAGTTATCTAGAAGAGTGAGATAATAAGTGGATTAGAGGAATAGAGGATTGCTGGATAGTAACACGAAGGTGGTAGTGGAATTTATTAACATTAATGTATAGTGAGAACAAGCAGCGTGATTATGGTTTTCTCAGAAACATTCTGCATAGACATCGATATGATATAAACAGGATTTTGGATTTAACCAGTGTTGGAACTTGTGGATTATAATGATGAAAAGAGAAGGGAGCAAGCGCAGTAAGAGCGTACATGAGGAAGTAATTATAATGGTGAACATGAAGCCAGGCAGGTTAAGGAGCTAAGAAAGGAGATCATGACAGGTTTGAGAGACTGTAGGAAGGGGGTAGGATCAAATGGATTGTGGGTGTTCTGATGGGGTTGAGTAATTGTTAAGAGTCAGAATCCTAAAGGGAATGAGGGCTGAAACCGGTTTGGCTCAGTGGTAGAGCGTCGGTCTGTGGACTGAAGGGTCCTGGGTTCAATTCCGGTCAAGGGCATGTACCTTGGTTGCGGGCACATCTCCAGTAGGGGGTGTGCAAGAGGCAACTGATCGATTACTCTCTCTCATAGATGTTTCTAATTCTCTATCCCTCTCTCTTCCTCTCTGTAAAAAATCAATAAAATATATTTTAAAAATAAATAAATAAATAAATAAATAAATAAATAAATAAATAAATAAATAAAATAAAGGGAATGAGAGATATTGATCAGCAAATAGATAATTAATTAGAGTTAGAGCAGAGAGATAATGGCAAAGTCTAGGGTATGACCATGGGAGTGCAATTTCCAAGTGAATAGCCTTAGACAAATTTCACAACCTTTCTCTTTTCTTCTCTGCAAAATGGGCTTGCAGAGTGCGGATAATGCCTATCTTACAAAGTTATCATGATGATTAAATGGTATGATAAATGTAAACTACATGACTCAGTGACTATCATGTGATAAGTTCTTAAAATAATTTCTTTTCTTTCTTTTGTAATTTTGAGCCGCATTTCCTGACCTGAGCAGAATAGTAAAATACCATACATGCTTGATACCTTTCCTTCTGCTTCAAAATTAATTATATGAAGTAGTATAAGATATATATTAAATCTCCATACAAGCCATTATTATTTTTTCCCAGTCAGAATGAAAACACCACTAGCTTAGAACTACCACTACTGTGTTAACAAGAAGTGCTTCTCTTTTATAATTCTCCTACTGTTGCTATTTATTCACTTAAAAGAATCTGTGTGCCACATCATTTGCATGTAATTATTAAAATAGCCCTGTAAGTTACATTGTGTAGGTATTTTTGTTATTGCTTTGTTTGCTAGTTGGGGAACTGAAAGTAAAGTGAAAAGTTACATATGATTATATTGCTTAAACTAGATCTTGAACCCAGGTCTTCTGACAAGCTAGTAACTGAATTCTGTGTTTCCCAGGGTATCTCACTATTGAGAATATGATTGCCTACTATAGATCTGTTACTCTATAAAGATATCCTTTTATACTGTATAATGAGATTTTTTTATTGTATAGGCCTCATTGTACAGTAAAATGAATATATAAAATGGATTTATATATTCACCCATTTCTTTTTTTCATTCATTGCATAATTATTATAATCTTTCTAACTGGTAGGCCAACTGCTAGGTCCTAGAAATATAATAGTGAGAAAGACATACACCCCTGCCTTCATGAAATTTTCAATATAGTGAGAAGGACAGGCAATTACATAACACTGTTTATAATTGAAGGGAAAATGCTCAAGACAAATGAACAAATAACAGAGAGGGACTTGACTGAGTTTGTGGGTCGGCTTGGTGGTGATCATAAAAGACTTTCCTAAGGAAGCTGCTTTTAAGCCAAGATTTGAAGGATGAACTACAGCCATCTAGGTCAGCGTTTTCCAACTGTTGTGCTGCAGCACATTGATGCGCCGCAAAAATTTTAAAAACAGTTTAGTCAGGGGTGCTCACCTCTTTTCCCTTAGATTGTTAAATTTAAAAAGTGACAACAACCAACACAATAGCCATCTGGTGTGAATGAATTAAAATTATACCTATTTTTGTGAGATTAACAAAATATGTTTTCTTGTTTTTATTAGGATTTAGAAATGTATTTTAATATAAATTAATAGATTATTATAACATAGTACTGAGCTTTTGATTCTTTGAGGAAATCAGTTATTTGGACTGCTTTGGAGGACCTGTGTGAGTTCACACCCAGGGTTGCATTGATTGTCATGCAGTAAGGCCTTTGAGGAAATTGATTTTGCTGTTCTTTAACTCCATCAGTGCTTTTATGCTGATAGTTCTTGCTAGCACACTACACTGAATCTTTTTTCCAAAGATTCATTTATTTTTTATCTAAGTAAGTGAATATTTCCATCTAAATTGATTCATTTGACATATTACAAAAACTAATTATTTACACAAATTAATTATTTTCTTGATTGAAAAATAGTTTCAAGATTTTTTAGTTCTAATTATGATGGGGGCCCAGCTAATTTTTCTTTTGTTTTCACAAATCATCGATTGGACCCTCCCCAGCTAGCATTTTAAGTAACATATGGCCTTATACATTGCTATAGTCGAAAATCTATGTGACATAGGAAAGGAAATTTGAGGAGATTAATGTTGTAATCTATCAGTGTATGTATCTCATTTTATGAAACAAGTTGCCATCCATTATTTTGATATGTTATAAGATATGTTGATAGTGGAAGGTCATAGTAGAACTGGCTAAGGCATTTAGCAAAGTAGAAGAGAAGGTTTGAGAAGGAAGTTGGCTATAAAAAACACACAGGTGCATAAGTATTTGACTTTACCAAGAGATTGCTGAGCACATTTATCAAGCAAAGGGAATAGGATTTGCTTGAAATGACGCCAAGCCACAGTGTGATGCTGGCTACGCATTATTACAACAGAGAAATAGATGTTAAGCACTGATACCATAGACTTCTTTTGTCAGACAAATAGACTTCTCCAGCACATGAGCAATTGTTCTCCACCCCCACTAGCTACATCAGTTTGGTAGCAATGGTGTAGTTCAGATAGAATGTACCTATCCTTCATTTGTATTTCAGTACTGCTACATTTTTGTGTGATTTAATTCTCTAAATCTGAGTCTCAGTTACTTCATCTATAAAATTAAGAAAATACCTTGTTGATATAAAATCACTTGATATTCACAATGATGATCCTGACTATGAACGTCCTACAGGCTGAATTACTGACTGATTTTTATAGTGTTAGCTTTGTCTGGAATTGCAATCCTTGTATCACTTAACACCAGTAATCTGAATAACTATTTAATCAAAGCAGCCAATTGTTAAGCCATAGAGAGATAGAGTATATGCGGTGTTTCTATTTATGTATTCTAAAGATAGTGTTCCCTATAAATAAGAATAAATACACTTTTAACTATAAAGACAACATTCTTTCTGTTTGTCAGTGTTAACCTGTAAGAAAAAGATTAGACAAATTTTCTCTTCCCTACCTAATGCTTTTCTGTCCCTCTTTGAACTTAGGAGCATGTATCCTGTTTGGAAATCTTTTCTCGAGGGGACAATGCAGGTAGCCCAGTCTCGGATCAATATATGTGAAAACTATAAAAACTTCATTTCTGAGCCTGCAAGGACAGTGAGAAGCTTAAAAGAACAGCAACTAAAAAGGGTATTGTTTCTATTTGTTCTTTTCTTATATGCATTTTAATATCTCAGTGTTATATTTGTAATCTGCAAGATTATATTAAATTGCATTTAATACTTGAGATTTCCTATTTGGTCACGATTCTGATTTCAACCTGGTTTTCTGATTACAACATGTACTTTCTAACTACAGTATTTTATTAACTGACATTGGTGAGTGTAAATTTAATCTGGACATTCTTAAAGTTCTGTAAATACTTAAATATTGATTTTCAACTTAGCTTAAGTAAATAGATCTTAGTTTTACAACATTGGAATAGTTTGTTGTATATTAAAATAGTTAAAATTTATTAATCTCACTGAGTCTTAAGTCTTCAATTTAAGCCATTTTGTATAATGATTTAAAAGAAGTTGATACTTTTTGACAAAATATAAAGTTATTACCAAAAATTATCAAAAATAATATGCTCTAAAGTTTAATTATATAGGTTATGTAAAAGTAAAAGTTTTCAAATAGGCCTTTCTTTAATTATGCAAAAATTAAAAATTCACAGAAAAATCATTATTAAATATGATTTTTATGAAAGGCTTGCTATTGAAAATAGATTATTGAATTGTGTCATTTTTGGAAATAGAGTTATAAAAATAGAGATTATCATGACACCTAAGAAGTAATTAAATTTTTCTTATGGAATTATCAATACTTTAGAAAATATTAAGGTAATTATTTAAAAATATAATGTTTCAGAAGCCATCCAGTATTTTGATTCTAATTGTCAGTTGGATTTTCAGAACTTTTGTACAAACAAAAAGCAACAAAAATTGTCCTTTCTTTTTGTCAAAACATAATAACTATGTTAAGTGTATGTTGTGTGTATATAAAATTTTAATCTCTTTCGAGCAGTCAGGTAATATCAGTTGATCTTAACAGATGTTACAAGAATGCACTTGTTTTATCTTTGATCAAAGACCTTTTTTAAAACAATATGGTGAATAAATTATATAACCTCTGACCAAAAGTGCTTTTGATTTTAACTTAAATATTGTGTGTGTGTGTGTGTGTGTGTGTGTGTGTGTGTGTGTGTATCCATTTGTGCATGCTGAGAAAATACAGAAAATGAATACTATTGTAACTTCCTAACTGGCAATACCATTTTTCAAATAGTCAGTGCACTCAACAAATCTAATTCCATTACTGGAAAGTCCCACCTTTTTCACTATCAGAATATTTTGAAAGAGTTTACCTCTTTTACTTTTTTTTCTTCCATTGGTAGAATAGTCTCTGACCTAAAAATAACTAACATTCCTTAGCAAAGAATGTTTAATGAGATTTGACAACCCCTTATATGTGAATTAACTTTTTTTATATTATAGCTGATAATCATATTTATGTTTCATGTAAGCAATTGTTAAACATTAGGTACATATTAGGCATAACTGTCAGGACTCTGAGATTATAAATGACACAAACCAGCTTCAAACTGGTTTAAGCCAAGATGAAAATGTATTCGCTTATAAATTTCAACATGGATGGAATCCAGGTGGGGTGGATCCATGTGCTCAAATAATGATATTAGAATTTAGTTTTTCTTCCCATCCATTAGCTTTACTTTTTCCAATGGCTTCATTCTTTTTTTTTTTTAATATATTTTATTGATTTTATACAGAGAGGAAGGGAGAGAGATAGAGTTAGAAACATTGATGAGAAAGAGTCATCAATCAGCTGCCTCTTGCACACCCCCTACTGGGGATATGCCCGCAACCAAGGTACATGCCCTTGACCGGAATCGAACCCAGGACCCTTCAGTCCCCAAGCCGATGCTCTATCCATTGAGCCAAACCAGTCTCGGCTGGCTTCATTCTTTAGCAACACTTTCTACAAGGTGGCCCCCAAAGTGCCAGATTTTAAAATCTTATAGCTAGCCATTCCATGTTTTCCATTTTCCTAGTAGTTCCAACAAAACCACCAGAATTGAAACTCATTGGGTTATCTTGGCTCACAGCCCACCCACTCCGTCAGGTGTTACAATCCTCACATATAAAGTACATGGACTAAAAATCGGGAGAGATTCTCCAAAGGAAAATGGAGATGGCTCGGTCCCCAAAGAAACATTCACAAACAAAAGCAACAGATGGCCACTGCAATTGGCTTCTTCAATTATACCTCCCAAACTTTATGACTACTAACTCCATATAGGAACGACTAAACCATTCGTCTACATATTCTTTTTCTTTTTCTTCTGGCCCGAGTTACTTTTATTTTTATTTCTGCTTTCAAGTTATTAGCAAGCCTACCTGTCCTATCTCCATCTATCTCTCTATCTATATTCTTTCTGTGTCATACTCAGAGGTCATACTTTAAAAAAAAATTTTACTACGATCTAAATTATAATATTCAAGTTGTCATCATTCTGTATGATCCCTTAGCTGTAATGTAAACTTATACACTCAATTCTATCTGCTCAGTGCTGATAACTCTTAGGGGAGAGTTGGGTTTTTCTTAACATAGGCAACATTAAGCTTCTTTTTAAGTATATAACTTAGACCACCCCAGAAAAGTCGATTCCCACAGATGAAATTTATTTTAGAAGTTGAAAAGAAAACCCTAGGTAATCTTTTTCTTTGCAAATTAAGTTAGATGACTTTTTAAAAAATAAATATTTTTGGTATTTTGCTACATAGAGAGCACTTTCCTTTGAAGAAGAACCCTAATTACTCTGTCTTGAAATAGTTCACTTGGGTGATGGAGAACATTTGGTTGTAGGGGAAGAAAGGATTACAGGTGATCTCTTCAGTGTAAACATAGGCTATCACTAGTAGTTTAATAACTAGTATCTTAGAAACATATGTAAAGGGGGGGGGGGGAGAAAGTAGGAATAGAATCAACCAGAGTTTTATAAGAGTTTTGAGAATCTTTTTAAATATATGAACTATCACTGTGCATCTGATACTGTGGTTTATATAGAAAATAGTAGCCTTTAGGGTGGCATTGTTCAATAACATTTATGTAAGTTTCAAGTGTACAGTTCTCTGGTGCATCGTCTGTATATTGCATTGTGTGCTCACTACCCAAAGTCTAGTCTCCTTCTGTCCCCATATATTTTATCTCCTTTACCCTCTTCAACCAGCCTCTGCCTCTCTGGTAACCACCATGCTCTTGTCTATGTTTATGAATTATTTTATTTTATTTGTTCATTTGTTGCTTTCTTTTATATCCTACATATGAGTGAAATCATATGGTTCTTGTACTGTTCTTTCTGGCTTATTTCATTTAGTATGATACACTCAAAATCCATCCATATTATTTCAAATGTTAGTATTTTATCCTTTGGTATGGCTGAGTATATTTCATTATACATATGTACCACATTTGGTTAATCCAGTCATCCATCGAAGGACATTTAGGTTGTTTCCATGTATTGTCTACTGTGAATAATGCTGCAGTGAACATAGGGTTACATATATCTTTACAAATAAATATTTTCAAATTTTTCAAGTAGATACCCGGGAAAGGAATTGTTGGGTTATATGGTAGCTCTAATACCCTTTTATACGGTAGATGAAAATGAATTAAGTAATCTTCATTAGATGTTTAGTCGCCCATGACTGAGGAGAGCTGTATTGTTCTTCAAAGGATTGGAAATAAGGAATGGCTGTGTGTATGTGCACATGCATGTGTTTGTGCGTGTGCATATGTGCTCATGTATAGGCACCCGTGGTATTCCATTTGTGTGGACATACTGAGACCCTATCCACATGGCTGTAATCCCCTTGGAAAACCTTTGGCCATCTACTATGTTTAGTTTCCTCTCAAAGTAGATTAGCAGACCCTTTTATTGCGTATATATCACTATAGACTCTTGGGCTTCCCTTCATTGATTAGTTTTTCTGAGACCAAACTTGTTTGGATGAACATTATAGACATATATGCCTTATTCCTGATTCCTCTTTTAAATAATTGATTTCATTTTCCCATGAAACACAATTGTATCTTTCAGACCATGCTTCAGTTTGTGTTCTTAATATCTCATTGTAGCCGTGGAGCACTCTCTCTGCTCTTCACACCTGCAAACATGGCATTATTGGAATGTTTATTACTTCTCTCTGGGATTGTCAGGTTGTCATGGTATTATTTATTAAACAAGAGGTTTGTATGTGATACGAACTTAAAATTAAGAAGAAATATTTTTCTGCAAGATAAAAAACCTTACTTATTTAAGTATACTTTACAATGAAATATTACTTAGCCATTAAAAGTGTAGAAGCATTAATGCTTGGTATTATATAGATGAACCCTAAAAACATTATGCTTAGTGAAAGTAGTGAGACATATAAGGCCTATATTTTATGATCCCATTGATATGAAATATCTGGAATAGGAAATTCATAGAAACAGAAAGTAGATTAGTGATTGCAGGGGCTATGGTAGGAGGAAATGGGGAATTTCTTGTAAATGTATCGAGTTTTTTTGTTTTTTGTTTTTTGTGGGGGTTTTTTGGTTGTTTAAAATGTTTAGTGATAATGGTTTTACAACCTTGTGGATATACTAAAAACCACTGCATTATATACTTTTAAAATGTGAGTTATATATTAAGTAAATGACATATCAAGATTTTTAAAAGCTTACTATTTTGAGATAAAGTATCTCTATATTAGACCTTAAAAACGTAGTTATCACAAAACTGGAGTAGATACCATAATAGGTTACATGGTAAATGATATAATTACTTCCTCACTGTATGACTTAGGGTAAATTATTTAACCTATATGTATCCCCATCTTTTTTTTAATATATTTTATTGATTTTGTACAGAGAAGAAGGGAGAGAGATAGAGAGTTAGAAACATCGATGAGAGAGAGTCATCGATCAGCTGCCTCTTGCACACCCCCTACTGGGGATATGCTGGCAACCAAGGTACATGCCCTTGACCGGAATTGAACCCGGGACCTTTCGGTCCCCAAGCCGACGCTCTATCCATTGAGCCAAACTGGTTTCAGCTGTATTCCCATCTTAAAATGGGACTAATAATATGAATAATTTTATCACTGAGTTGTTTCAAGAACTAAATGTAAAAATGCCCAGAAAGTGCTAAGCAGAATGAATTGTCAGTCATCAGCACTCAGGTTATTTTCCAGGACAAAGCTGTTTAGCAAACTGTAACACTATATCAAACATTACTTGAAGTGGGAGTGTCAGCTGTTCACTGGATTTTGATTTGCAATTTGAAGGAGACCAGGAGTACTGATTCTTCTCCTGGGTTTCCATCCTAAAGGGATAGCACATAGTTGTTGGGACAAACTAACTTTATGTAAGCCTGAAAACAAAATCATAATAATTGAATTCTTTATTTTACAGTGTGTGGACCAGTTGACAAAGATCCAAACTGAATTACAAGAGACAGTGAAAGATTTAGCTAAAGGCAAAAAGAAGTACTTTGAGACTGAACAGATGGCTCATGCAGTACGAGAGAAAGCTGACATCGAGGCAAAGTATGTTTTAGCATTAGTGGGAAAGTGGTTATGCAAATAAATGTTATTTTTGCCAATCCTTTGTTTTCTAGTAATACGGGGCATAGACTCATTCTTAGGTTATGTTGGTTTCATCTGACCTATAAAAGTACTTCAGATCAAAATTTTCTTTTATGTTAAATGATTTTACTTCATATAGCCAAATGAGAAGATTTGATTAATCAGTTTTTACATTAAATTAAATTATCTAAAGAAGATGAATATTGTATTGAAATCTTAGCAAAAGTCTAGTTAAAGTTGGTATGGTGTCTGAATATCAGCGTTTCAGAGCTTTATTTTTCTCATGCTAGACTCTAAGTAGTTGGGAATCCCTGGTCCTCAGCGTGGCGTTGAGGAAGGGACCATGGACACTGACCTCAGTGTAGAGGCCCTTCCTCTGGCACAGTTTTTCTCTTTTGTGAAATTCCAAAATATGTACTTTTTTTTTTATGTCTGCTTTGAACAACTTTGTGAATTTTTACATCCGTATTTGTGATTTACAAATTCATTCTTTTGAGAATAATTAGGAAAAGAAGGAACTGGCATTTGGAAATAGCAAGAGCTAATGAAGCAAGCAGTAGAGTTGCAATGACAACTTGAGAAAAAAAAAAGTTTTTAAGAAAAAAATAAGCCTGTATCCTAGAATGGGACCCTGAAGATGTCTGTAAGGAGAGGTAAAACTTCCATTCAGTGCTCACTGATACAAAATCTAGGGGTCTGAACTCTGAGTTATGAAATCAGAAAGGCTATGAACACTGTACAGACTAGTAAGGTGTTGGGGGTGTCTTCCTAATATGTTTTTATCTGCAAGAAATTAAACAATCTCATAATTGTGAAAATTTAAGGACTCCTGGGAAGTATATGTCCTACCAAGTGACGGTAATTGAATATTCATAAAGTACTTAATGTTACCAGGAAACATATTTACTATATACTGTTTCCCTGATTTAATGCACATCCTTAAATGTTATTAGAAAAGTGAGAGGTTGCTTTTGCTGTCCTCGTCCCCTTTGTTCTGCAGGGACTAGCTTGCCCTGTGGTCTGCACTTCATGTTATGGCACAGCTGCCAACACATACGCTGAGTTCTCCATGGCAATCACCATGACACTGCAGTTAAGACAAACTTTGCAGCTTCAAAATTCACTGATTGTAGGAGTATTAATTGTTTCTTAGCAGTTGTCTATTGACTTTCTTTTTGTTATCTTTGGTTGTTTGGGTAAAGCCAACATATTTTTACTACTAATTGTTAGATTATGGTTCCCCTCCCATACTAAACGGGATTGAGGGAAATCATGACATCAGATTGGGAGAAAACAAAATACAACAAAATCCATATAAGGCAACATAAACTGATGAACAAAAACAAATCCAGAGACAGGGAAGCATCAATCCAGACTGTCAAAGTTCAGAGGGAAGGTAGGGGATGGCAGGGGTAAGAGGGAAAGATCAACCAAAGGACTTGAATTCATGCATATAAGCTTAACCAATGGACACAAACACCAGGAGGGTGAGGGCATGAGTGGGGGAAGGGGAGGGGGAAGTAGGGAGATAAGGACACATGTAATATCTTAATCAATAAAGAAAAAAATATTTACAATAAATAATTTAATAAATAAAAGCAAAAAGTTGGAAACAATCCAACTGTTCATGAATAGGCGATTATAAAATAAAGTATTGCACATCCATACACTAATAAAAAAAAACACCATATAGGGCAGAGAGCCCAGATACTTTCCCATTGTGTTGCAAATACTATATTAAGAGTGAAGGGGGCACACAGGCAGGCACCTAAACAAGAAATTTTCATGTGAGAAATATCGGAATTAAGGTCTTGCTAGAGCCTGGTCACTATCATACTGTCGATTGCATCATGGTACTGTTGCAGCCTGTCACACACCTCCCTGAAAGCTACTAATCTTTGCCTCTGTAGGTTGGTTATTCCTGGATTTAAGCTTCCTTGGAGGAACTAAAGTATGAGGAATTGTAAAATATGGGAATTACCTATAGTTTGATGACTCTTGTTTTTTATGAACTATCATTATATTGGACTTACCTAGTTGATTTTTTTGTCATTCAGGATATTTTATTTTATTAATATCAGTATTTCTTGTTTCACCATAACATTACATTCTTCCAGTAGCAAAATAAAGGAAAATAATCATTGATCTTGGTTTTCCATTTTTTTAGTTCTCTTTTAAAACAGTGTTGTGGAAAAGGGTAACTTTTAAAAAATTTAATAGTTATAATATTTAATCACTTTATGATAAAATTTGATAATTTTATTAACCATACTTTTCTGGTTTTTATAACAGATCTAAACTTAGTCTTTTCCAATCAAGAATCAGTTTACAGAAGGCAAGTGTGAAGGTGAGTTTTTGAAAACTGTATTTCACAATTAAGAAACCTTAAAAAAAAAAAAAAAAAAGAATTGTGTCTTTTGATGATGGAGATCAATTATTTTCAACTAATTTAGGGAAGTGTTTTTTAAGTCATTAACTTTGGGAAAAACTTTCCTTCCCAGTTCAGTGGGGTGGGGGCGGGTTTTACCCAGGTGTCAACATGTTGGACAAAATTTGCTTCTTGAGATTGCTTTATAGATAGGTTTCTGTACTTGGTCTGCTTAGGTATCCTTGTTTTTAATTCTTAGTACAAGAGACTTAGTCCACAGGCTTTAGAAAGCTCTACAAAATCCATTTCATTGACAGGTATACCCTGAGCAGAAATTCTGCGCCACATGCAAGTGTTGTTGTTTTTCTGTGGGACCCTTAGGGGTGAAGTACTCGATAGGTAAGCTCAGTGGCCCGGCTTTGTCTGCCAGGCTCCCATCAGGCATGCAGTTCTTCTGGCACATTAGTAGTATTGAATTTTTTAAAACAATTTTCTAACTCCAATAGAATTACTCATGTCTTTGACAATAATAATAAGGACCTTAATTTGGGAACCTTTATTTTTCCATTTGGATAAAACACACAAAATACTTTAAATTTCTCTAAAAAACTTTGGAAGTATGTTAAGTATAAATAACAAATATTTGAAAAGCTCTTACCATATGCAACAGTTCTAGGTACTGTTTACTTATTTCCTCATTAATTGCCAGCTAAGAGAGGTAATGTTTTGCACTGTAATACAGTTTGTGCTGACTTTTGTTCTGTATTATGTTTTAGCTAAAAGCCCGGCGATCTGAGTGTAATTCCAAAGCTACCCACGCAAGGAATGACTATCTTCTTACATTAGCAGCAGCAAATGCACATCAGGATCGCTACTATCAGACAGACTTAGTTAACATTATGAAGGTAAAACAGCCTTAATATCTGTGGTCATTTGGTTTCTTTAAAGACAAAAATAACTGACGAATTGGGTGTTCAGTATGTAAGATTGAGTCTGTAGAATAGCATCCAGGCTACTTTGCATTTTGTTGGAATATACTTGATATTGTTTTGGTAATCTCTGTTTTAGATAATTCTGAATTAATTTTTAGTTTAAGAACATGTTTAAAGCCAAATCATAGTAAAGGATTGTATTATTCCCTAGTAGCAGCAGATATTTACTGTATAAAGGTTATCCTATTTAATAAAAGAGTATTTTGCAAATTGGCCATACCTCTGCTATACCCACAAGCCATGCCCACCAGCCAATCAGGAGCCAGTATGCAAATTAACCAAACCAAGATGTCTGTGGCCAGGAAGAGAACAGGAGGCTTGGATTTCCCCTGTCCTGGCCTGCCTTGGCCTCCGCTTAAGGATACAAAGTTTCAATTATAGAAGATAAATAAATCTCAACAAAAATAGTGGCAGCCACAGAGCTGGAGAGAGCAGGAGGCTTGAGTTGCCCCCAGCAATGGAGGAAGTCAAGTTTCCAGGTCCCAGATTGGAGAGGGTGCAGGCTGGGCTGAGGGACACCCCCCACCCACCGGCAAGAATTTCGTAAAGGCTTATATTTTTTAAAATTCTGTAACTTTTCATTGTTAGGTAAACTTAAACATCACTATTTTATGGTTTTTGAGGTACCTTTGGAAAAACAAGAAAAAGTGTCTAATAGTTATCTGACAAAATACCTCTGCCCTAAGTATCATTCTGAAATGTAGATAGGTTGGATTACAGTTTTTTGTGTGCTCAAACTTGATCTTAATCTGTCCCTGTTTATACCCTATTTGTATCTTTGACTTATACTGATGATAAGAGTCAAAGAGAAGAAAACTTTTTTAACCGGCCACCAAGTTTCCTCTTACTGCTGGGAGATAAGTTTTGATTTGAATTATATCTCATTCTCTTTTGTCTTCTCTTATATTTTCAACCCATCCCCTCAAATACATTGTCCTTAATGATTATCAAATACTTGCTTTCACTGAATTGTTTGCTTTATAAATCCACAGTGTTGAGAATGGGGATGCAACAGGAGTGGGTGCTCTTTTTTCTAACAGTGACTCTGGGGCAGATAAACTCTGTCCAGATCTACAAGTTCTTTCCTGAGAATAGAGACAGGACATTTCCTGGACCTTGAGGGGAAAATGGGAGTGGTAGAGAGAATCAAACAGGACTAAGAAGTATCCTGTTGCAAGTTTTTTCATGTCTTTTTTTCACTGCTTGAATTACACTTTTCCTAGTTTCTATCTTTTTCTGACCTGCTGGTTAAAATACAGGTGGTGAGAGAGACAGGATCATTTTGAACTTTGCATACATTTTTCCATGAAATGTACCTAGAGATTAGGCATTTTAGTATCTTATTGGGTGCTTTAGTATCTTACATAGTGCTTCAGACTTATAAGGACCAACTGGAGATTTGGCCTCCCATTATAACATGGTTCAAATAACCTATTTATTAAAGACAAGAGGCCGGGTGCACGAATTATGCACAGGTGGGGTCCTGCTAATTCACACCAATCAGGCCGGACAGGCTGGGGGGAGGGGCTACAGGTGATTGGTGTGCCGGCTCTGTCCCCTGGTCAAACTCCCAGTCGAACTCCTGGTCAAGGGGACAATTTGCATATTAGCCTTTTATAATATAGTACAGGTTTCACTTAGAATTATGATTTTCTGTATCCTTTTACTATTAAATCAAAGCTTAACTGTATTTTAAAATGAACATTAGTTTAAGCAAAAACAAAATCTTTGTTTCTTTAAATTGAATCCACAGCCAATAAAGTTCTCTTACTGAAAATTCTATGTATGGCATTTGATAAACCAGGAAAGGTACAGTATTATTTTAGATATTTGCTTTCTGCCAAAAAAAATAAAAGTTAATGGGTCCAGTCTGCTCTCATGCATATATATATTTGATCAGCATTTGGGTAGGTTTTGCTTCAGATTACTCATTCCATGAAATGTTATAGGGCACTGACGTGATGAAAATAGAGGCAGTTCTTATTCCTAAAAAATAAGAAAGTATATCTTAATTTTCATGTTGTGCATGTTAATTCATTCTCTTTCACATGCTAATTCTATAGTCTGCAGTGTTGGAAAACCCCCATTAATCATGCTGTTAGCCTCTTAGTAAGTTTCTGTCATTGAAGTGACAGTGGAGTGGCTGGCTCTTTAGTGCCTTTCTTGAAAATGTCTAGATTTTGAATTGTTGTTAAGGTTATAATGCCCTAGCTAGAATCTTTTTAAAAAAATGTATGTGAATAGCTTGGATGCCCAGGATTTGATTCATTAATTTAATCATACACATTTAATATTTATTTATAGTAGGTAGCTACTGGACTAGACTTTGGGAAGAAGCAAAGATGAGTAAGACACTCTCCTTATCCTCAGAGAGCTCAATCTGAGAGAGGTAGAAATGATTACCAATTAGAATAATCAAATCACAGCTAGAGGACCTTGGTTAGTAATAATAATAGCTATCTTTTTTTTTATATAATGCTTGATGTCACCCCAGAATTATCTTAATCACTTTAGGCATATTATCCTATTTCATTTTCCTGATTAGTTCATAATACATTATTTAAATAACACTCTAGCCTATAAGTGAAATGAAGTGAAATCCCAACTGTAGATGAACTCGATAAACTCTTTGTATTTGCATCTAAGTAGCTAAATACTACTAAAGATCTTTCAACAACAGATTCATGATCTCAAATGAACTCTTACCACTGCTCAGATTTCCTATTATTATTTCCCTAGTTAACTTTCCCTCCTATTTTTAACAGTTATTTCAGCTTTTTTCCTTTTCTTCAAACCTCAAACTTATCCTTTCTTTCACATATAGCATGTGGTCTTTCTTCCTAATCTATAATAATAAAAGCATAATATGCTAATTAAACCGGACAGCCAAACAACCTTCCAGATGTCATTCCAAATGTCTTTCCCGATGAAGCCTTGGGGGGAGGGGGGGGGCAAGGCAGAGGCAGTTAGGGGCGATCAGGTAGGCAGGAAGAGTGGTTAGGGGCAATCAGGCAGGCAGGTAGGAGAGTGGTTAGGAGCCAATGGTCCTAGATTTTGAGAGGGATGTCTGACTGGCAATTGATACCTGATCCTCCTTGAAGGATTGGGCCTAAACTGACAGTCAGACATCCCCCAAGGGCGCCCAGATTACAAGAGGGTGCAGGCCAAGCTGAGGGACACCTTCTTCCCCCCCACCCTGTGCATGAATTTTGTGCACCAGGACTCTAGTTTACAAAAAAAATAGAAGCCATTAATTGTCTCATTACCTGCCTCCATCTGTGTTCAAGATTTGGGAGAGTCACAATAGCAGTTATTCCTCCTTTTTAAAGATGACCTTTTGGATAATGTCTCATCCCCTCCTGCCCTCTCAGAATAAAAACAATTGATAATTCTATTTTCTCTTTATCTTTATTTTCAGGCTAACAGTTCATGAGAATTTAGTGATGATGCCCCTCATTAAGTCTGTCTTTTGTGTCACACTTCCCTAATCTGGATTAACTGCCCTCCTGTGTCCAATGCAATGCAGTTATTCTAAGCTCTCCTTTGCCTCTTTCCTCTGTTGGCTCCTCAGTTTTCTGAATCATGTGTCTTCTTTTCTCTTGTTTTACTCTGTGTTGGGGAATATCATCTCCATTACCTTTTGAGAGAGTGAACATGAGAGCTAAGTTTTTGAGATACTATGTTAATGAAAATGTAATTATTTTGTGCTAATACTTATAGAATTAAAGATTGAAAACCATTTTTATTCAGAAGTCAATATTCTGTTGTTTTCTTGTTTCCTGTGTAGGTATTGAGAATCCAAAGCCATCTGGTTCTTGATTATTTGTATCTGATTAATTTTTTTTCTTTAAATTGATATTTAAATAAAATTAAATTTAAATAAAATTTAAATTTAAATAAAAAGATAGAAGCTTATGAAATATCCTTAGTATACCCTTTGATACTTGTATTAATTCTCCCTTTTTGTTTTCTTTTTCTGAAACTCTTGTTATTAAGATGTGGGATTTCATGGGCTAATTCTTTATATTTCTTTTTTTCTCTTATTTTCCTTCTTTGCCATTATGCACTACTGTCTTGGAGACTTCAACTTTATGGTGCAACTCTTCGTAAGTGTTTTAGGTTTTGTCTACATGACTTTAATATCCAGTGGCTCCTTTTTGTTTCTTGGATTTTCCTTTTGTATATAAAGCAAGTTTTTGTGCTTTCTCTTCTCTTTAATTCTGATAGTATCAATAAAGGGATTTATTTAAAAATTTTTCTTCTCCCTGCATAATCTGTTTTAGACTGTTTTTAGCAACTTTGAGCTTTGTAATAGGGTGGTCTGATGGGCCTTTGTAGGAAAAATCCTAATGTCAGTATCTTTAACTCTTTCCTCTTAGACTGGTCAAACCCCCTCTTTACTCCCTTCATTACTTCTTCAGACCTCCTCTTGTGTCATTCTCTGAGGAAGATTCCCATTGAGCTCCTTAATCTGGTTCTATTTCCCCGACAGTCCGATGATCTAATAAATTGAAGTGCTTAGCACAGTTGTAGTTTTATGTGTATCTGTGTGATTATGTGACAGATACCCTATCTCCCACTTAACTATACACAATCCATGTGAACAATGATTGTGTCTATGTCATTTGAGAATTTATCCTAGCTACCTTGTATAATGTGTGTTAAATGTCTTTAATATTATTGAATGAATGAATAAATGAATGAACAAGCAAACTCATTTTAATCTTCACAAGATAAATTATTCCTATTTTACAAATGAGGAAATTATGACAAAGCCTGGATTTAACTCTGGCAGGTCTCTGCCATCAGAACCAGTGCCATTAGCTATTTATTTGAACTAGCTTGTCAGACCTATTTCCTCTTCCCCTATTAAATGGGAAATCATTCAGCACTATTTTGTCTCCTTTGGGTTC